ACTTAATCAAAATAAACTTTATATTAATTTTTTATTTATCTTTAAGGTAAATTATTTTAAAGTAATTATTGTTCTCAAAATATAAAAAAAAATATATTTAATTAAACTAACTTTACTTTTATAGTAATTATATCTAATTAAACGTCTTAGATTTTATGGTAATTTCTTACGAAATTCAGTCTATTTTTGTGGTGCAAAATATTAGGTTTAATTTTGAGATTTTCAATGATTTATTAACCTCTTAGTCCTTTTCTTAATGTTTTATATCATCTTAATGTCTTATGTAATGCAAATGAGAGGTCTAATAAATTTGTAAGCATTAAAATCACTAAAAATTAAATTACGATAATCAAGATTAACAAAAAATCGTTAATATTCAAAATATTTTCATCAATCTTAATTTGAGTTACTCTCACTTTAAAAAATTAGAAAAATATTCAATCATATTTTGATTAAAAATCAAAGCAATAAATAAAAACACAAAAAAATAAAATAAAAAAGAAATATAAAGAAATTATAATCTTTTTTCGTAGAAACACATTATTTTGTTAATCCCATAAAATGTCTTCAAGAATTATCCAAGACTCCACTTTTGCTTTAATCATGTGGAGATAATTCTTAATGACTTGTTAACGGCATTGAACAGTTAAAATATATTTTATTTAAGTTTAAATACACTTAGACTTTATAAATGCCTTCCACTCTTAAATATATATATATATATATATATATATATATATATATATATATATATTTCTTTTTAATTTAAATAGACTCGCCGTTCATTTCTATCATCGGCCCATTTTAATTTTCTTTATAAATGTTTTGATACTCTTCTTTTCTTACATGGACTCTTATGCCTTGTTTGTTGAATATGATAGAATAAGAAATAATATAATATAAAAATCAAATAAGATAAAATAAGATAAGATAAGAGAGTGATAAACTCATATCATTTCCGTATATTAAGATAATAAAACAAATAATATCATGTCATTTTATCTAATATTTGAAATAAACAAAAAAATTTAGCAAAAAAAAAAAACAATTAATAAAACAAGATACACATTACATTTAAATAAAAATTACTCTTTTATAAAAAATTAATATAGTTTTTAAAATTTATTTTTTATTTAACTTATTGACTTTTGATAAAAATTATAAATTAAAAATATTTGTGTGCACATAATATTAAAATTTTGATATAATTATAATAACATTCTTTTTACATTTTTTATAATAAATTATAATTAAAGCACAAATAAATTATAAAAATATATTTTTGGAAAATTATTAAAATTATATTTTTATAAAATATTAAAAAATTATAAAGTATTATCATTTGCAGATGCTTCTTAGCGCTTTAGAATAAAAATTTAAATTACAAAAATGTAATAAAATAACTTAAGAGGAACAATTATATTCTTGTTATTCAATAATTATTGAAAATAGAATAATAGAATTTTATCCTTATCTTCTATCTTAAGCATCAAATAGACCTTTTTCATAGTTTAGCTCTCAAAACACAATAAATAACAAATTAATTTTACATTAAAAAGTTTAAGAAAATATTAATATGATATTTTTATCAATATTTTTTTGTTTAAATAAAATTTTTAAGTATAATAATAATGCATCTACATTATTTTCGTAGTCTAAAGTTAGAAATTTTATATACTATAATAAATACAAAATAAAAATTATTAAATAAAAAAAATTATCTTTAATTTTTATCTCTCTAAACATAAAATATATATAAAATATATATTTTGGTTTTATTCTTTTTATTATTTAATTTCATAATAATAATATACTAAAGGCAATAGTATTGTATTAATTAAAATTTAATTAATATATTTTCTTATTATTCAAATTAATTGGTGTTAAAATTATTATAACATTTCTTTTTTATATTAACTAGACGTTGCACTATCTTGTAGGATTTATATTCTAAATTATAGATAAATTTAGTTAAACAGTTGTTAAAAAATTATGTAAAATAAATATTTATTTTGCACAGACTAAATTTTATTATAAAATAATATAAATAGTATAACTTTTAAAAGTTAAAAAAAAAATTATTAAAGTGATATTTTAAATCTGAATATGTTTTTCCGCTAAACTTGAGAACCGATTCATGCTATAAGCTGTATAAGCGTATATAACTTGGGTTCATATCACATGCTATGGATACGAGTGTAACTCTAAGTTGCATCAATCTTACGTTTTATTTCTAAATGTGTATTCTAGTTCTAACTTAAACGTGCTAAAAACATATCTCAAAATTCTACAATAAAAATAATATTTAAAAAAATTATTTTATTTATACAAAAATTCTTATATTTTTCATCATACATAATATTGAACATTAAAAAAATTATACTTTTATCACAATAAAATATATTTTATGCGGCGAGAGTTTGGGTCCCTGGCGAACCATCGTCTCTGGTGGATTATCACCGCACCATAGCAAAATATTTGTGATCCTTATCCTCATAAAAAAAAGGTTTATTATATCAAAGTGAAGAACAGCGAAGACAAAGGGAAAACCTTATCCATAACTATTTAAAATTGTGAAAATGCCGCCCTTGTCCCTGTTCGGTACCTCTTGTCCTTTTCTTTTCAATTTTTTCAATAAAAGCAAATTTCAGAAATTTAAGAACAAGTGGTGTTCTTCTTATCTAACACGTGTTCCAATAATTCTTTTAGCTGTAATCCTTACACTTAATTAATACTATTCAATATCAATATTTTTTTAAGAAAATGAGGCCAGAGGTAAATTTATTATTAATAATCAAAAGGTTTATTTTTTCTACACTTCTTATAACTTTCAATTTTATAATATATTATTTTAATTAAAATTTAAGAATATTAATTTTTTTAAGTAAAATTAATTAAATGCTATTAAGTCTTTAAGCACAATATTTTTAATAAATTATATAATGAATTTACAAATTTTAAAAATTATATATTAAAAAATTAAAAATTTTAATACAATGTTTTTAGTCTTTATTTAATAATTATTTTTCATTAATGATTATTAATATTTTAATAAAATATCGATTTTCCTAATGAAAATGCATTCTTTATATGAATTTTGCTAAAATAATGTTTACTATATATTAAAAACATATAAATATTGTTAATATTTTTTTAAACATATTTTTATCCTTATCTCTTCTTATGTCTATTTTCAAATGTTAATAAGTATTGAATTGAAATAATATTTTAAATTATAATTACTTTAATATCATCAATAAAAATATTCTATTCGAGAGAAGACTAAAATTTCTATCTTACATAATTAGAGTTATATGTATTTTATAAGATTAAAATTAATTAAAAATAATATGTAAACTATATTTTTTTGTTGTATTTTTATTTAATATTTTTGTTAATTTTATTATAAATTTGACAATAAAAGTTTTTTATATATAAATTTCTAAACTTCTTATGAATATTTATATTCATAAAACTTTTATGAACTTATTATATAATTATAGAATCAATTTTATTTTATATAATTATTTATATTTTAATTATTATTAATATATATTTCTGTAAATTACATAAGCTAGTCACTAGTTTATTAAATTTTGTTATATTTCTGTAAATAACAGTTGGGAAGATGCCACGTATCCCGTGGGTGATTGTGCATCCAATGAGAGCGAGAAACTGGCGTGACCATCGAGCTTTGCAGCTAATTTCAGACAATCCTCTTAGGTGGTCACACACGAAACATATTCAGATTTGAGGTGATCATTTTAAGTTTTTTAGTTTATTATTCTTAAAATTTTAAAGATTATATTATTTATATTATTTTATAATAAAATTTAATTTATATAAATTATATATTTATTTTATATAATTTTTTAATAACTATTCAATTTAATTTATTTATAATTTAAAATATAAATTGTTCAAGATAGTGCAACGTCATATTAATATAAAAAGAAAATATTATAATAATTTTTAAATAATAAAAAATATATTAATTAAATTTTAATTAATACAAAGTTATTACTTTTAGTATATTATTATGCAATTAAGAAAAATATTTAATTTTTAAAGTTTTTATAATATTTTAATTATTATTATTATTAAATAGTATTATTTTAATTTTTAAATTCTATAAAATATTAAAATGATTAAATATTTATAATTTTAGAAATTAAAAAATTATTTTAATAATTTTGAAGTTAAATTTCACATATTACAGAGATACGAAATATTGTTATAGCAATTTTTATTTTTTAATTATAAATAATTTTAGCAACATTTTTTAAAAAAGTAATGGCTTCTTGGATTGAGCATTGAGTCTGGGTCCCTTCAATGACGAGGTAGATAGTTAATGTGACATCCAGCTGTCCACGCTGGTGGGTCGGAGCAGGGGCTCCGAATCTGAAGCTCCAATTTTTGCAACTCAAAGTTATCCTCTAAAACTGTACGCAACCAATTATAGCTTCCCATATCTATGACCTAATCTGACGTGGACGATTTCACGATGTCTCCGGTGCACCAGAGTCCTTCACCCATTGTCGGGGACATAAGATAGGATGACATACATTAGTAATCAAAAATAGTAACGAATCTCAACACGTCAATGAACGGTTAGGAAGATGCCACGTGTTCCTCGGGTGATTGTGCATCCAATGAGAGCAAGAAACGTGGCGTGACGAACGAGCTTTGCAGCTAATTTCAGACAACCCTCTTGAGTGGGTCCCACACGAAACATAATCCTCGGTGACGGACTTGCCGAAGGACAGAGGATAAGGACGAACTCATGAGAGATTATACGATACATCTATGTACATGTCTCACAATGTATCATAGATTATGAACCTTTATTTAGATTACTTGAAAGTCTTGCGAAATCATCCAACGGTGGGGAGCTATTATAAATTCCCATAAACAAAATGAAAAGAAAAATGAAGTTGTTTTTAGTGGTTGACCCACGAAAACAAGTGAGCTTCCAAAAGTATCACACTGTTGCATGCTGTCTCTGCTCAGTGGAAAGAGAGAGATATCATGGGGTTGGGTGGCCATTGTGGATCAGTGAGAAAGCTCTTCCAAAAGATAATTCAAGTTTTTCTCACTTTATTTTCTTAGTCATTTATATTAATTAATTTTTTTATTTTTATTTTCCTTATTCTTCCCCACTATGTAGTTGATTTTTTCTTATATGATTTATATGGATATGGATTCTAAATTTTTTTACATCCACCCAATGAAAGTGAAATTGGAATTCAAGTCTCAATGAAACTGGTAATTTTCTTCAACCGTTTGTTAATTCCATCTGGGTTCCTTGTTTTTATCTTTTTCTTTGCCCCCTTTGCTCTTTTAAGCCATCTGGTTCTGACTTCCAAGTTCAGTCCATTTATGACATCAATCTCTGGTGGTTTGTTTGGTTGCTGTTTCTTGTTGTAGCTGTTTATGTGATCTGAATCTATTCCATTCCTTTTGTTCTCTATCTCTCTCTTCTGGATTTCTAGTAACTACATGTTTCATCTGTCCCTTGCTTTGATCCACTGCTCAAAGCTCGTCCTCAAGCAAGTTCTGCTCTCCCTTTTGATGCTCTCCATTGTTACTCATCACAGATTCACCACCAGCTGCACCTCTTGCCATTTCATGCTTTGCAATTTCTCTTTTACTCAATTCAGGACAAGTATTAGGTGACCCAGAACTCAAAATACAGCCTTGCCTTGTTCACCTCACACTCTTTTGGTTGAACTTGTTGTGGACCATGTTTGTGAGATGATTGTTGGTGGTTGGTGTTGGGGATTATCTTGGATGGAACTGGGTTGTTATGTGGGTGTAGTGTTTCATATCATTGCGTCTTAGCTTGTGGTAACAAGAATGGTGTCAAAGTCCTATTCAAACCTGTTAGAGTTGGCCTCGGGTGAGGCTCCATCATTCGGGTTCATGAACAGGAGAATTCCAAGGATTATGACTGTGGCAGGGTTGATATCTGATGTTGATGATGACCCAGTGGAGAGTGTGTGCTCCGATCCCTCTTCATCGTCTGTGCACCGCGACCGGATCATAATGGTGGCTAATCAGCTCCCACTAAGGGCTCAGAGGAAGGCAGATGGGAATAGGAATTGCTGGTCTTTTGAATGGGATGAGAATTCTCTTCTTCAATTGAAAGATGGGTTAGGTGATGATGATATTGAGGTTATTTATGTAGGTTGTCTCAAGGAGGATGTGCACCCAAATGAACAGGATGAGGTTTCACAGATACTTCTTGACACCTACAAGTGTGTCCCAACTTTTCTCCCACCTGATCAGTTTACTCGGTACTATCATGGTTTTTGCAAACAACAGTTGTGGCCACTGTTTCATTACATGCTGCCTTTATCACCAGAACTTGGTGGCAGGTTCAATAGGTCACTGTGGCAAGCTTATGTGTCTGTCAATAAAATATTTGCAGACAGGATTATGGAAGTTATCAACCCTGAAGATGATTATGTGTGGATACATGATTATCATCTGATGGTGTTGCCGACTTTCTTGAGGAAGAGATTCAACAGAGTGAAGCTTGGGTTCTTCCTTCATAGTCCATTTCCTTCATCAGAAATATACAAAACATTGCCTGTTAGGGAAGAGATCTTAAGGGCCCTTCTTAATTCAGATTTGATCGGGTTCCACACTTTTGATTATGCGCGCCATTTCCTTTCCTGTTGTAGTCGGATGCTTGGCCTTACATATGAATCCAAGCGTGGTTATATTGGGATCGAGTATTATGGTAGGACTGTTAGTATCAAAATTCTTCCTGTTGGAATTCACATGGGTCAGCTTCAATCGGTTTTAAGGCTGCCACAGACTGAAGAAAAAGTTTGCGAGCTCATTAGACAGTTTTCTGATCAGGGAAGGACAATGTTGCTTGGGGTGGATGACATGGATATTTTTAAGGGAATAAGTTTGAAGCTATTGGCCATGGAGCAGCTTCTCCTTCAGCACCCTGAGTATCAAGGAAATGTAGTGCTGGTCCAGATAGCTAATCCTGCTAGGGGACGAGGGAAAGATGTGAAAGAAGTTCAAGCTGAGACCAAAGCCACAGTAAAACGAATCAATGAAACATTTGGGAAACCTGGGTATGATCCTGTCATTCTGATTGAGGACCCTCTCAAATTCTATGAGAGAGTTGCTTACTATGTTGTTGCTGAGTGTTGTTTAGTCACTGCTGTACGGGATGGAATGAATCTCATTCCCTATGAATATATCATCAGTCGTCAAGGAAATGAAACATTGGATAAAGTCTTGGGTCTTGCTTCCTCCCCCAAGAAAAAAAGCATGTTAGTAGTGTCTGAGTTCATTGGCTGTTCCCCCTCTCTAAGTGGAGCAATCAGAGTGAACCCGTGGAATATTGATGCAGTAGCTGAAGCAATGGACTCTGCGCTGGAAATGGCCGATTCGGAGAAACAGCTTAGGCATGAAAAGCATTATAGATATGTTAGTACTCATGATATTGGGTACTGGGCTCGGAGCTTCTTGCAAGATTTGGAAAGGACTTGTAGTGATCATGTGCGACGAAGGTGGTGGGGAATTGGTTTTGGATTAAGCTTTAGAGTTGTTGCACTTGATCCAAACTTCAAGAAGCTCTCAATGGAGCACATTGTTTCTGCTTACAAGCGGACAACAACTAGGGCAATCCTTCTAGACTATGATGGTACGCTAATTCCTCAGGCATCCATTGATAAGAGCCCAAGCAGTAAATCCATTGAAATTCTTAATAGTTTGTGTAGAGATAAGAACAACATGGTGTTTCTTGTTAGTGCTAGGAGCCGAAAGACACTTTCTGAATGGTTTTCTCCTTGTGAGAATCTTGGAATTGCAGCTGAGCATGGTTACTTTCTAAGGTAAAGCACTTAAGGCTTCTGTCTTTTCATTGGGTATAGATAGTGGCTGACTTTACTTTTTATGTGATGTATGGTTTCAGAATGAAGCGAGATACAGAGTGGGAAACACATGTTGCTGCAGCAGACTGTAGTTGGAAACAAATTGCAGAACCCGTTATGAAACTTTATACTGAAACAACTGATGGATCCACCATTGAAGATAAGGAGACTTCACTTGTTTGGTGCTATGAAGATGCAGATCCTGATTTTGGATCATGCCAAGCTAAGGAGCTTCTTGACCATCTTGAGAGTGTGCTTGCAAATGAACCAGTGACAGTCAAGAGTGGCCAGAATAATGTAGAGGTTAAACCACAGGTATGCACAACATTCTACTTCTAGAAATGAGTTTTAACTATAGATTCAATTTATATCTTTAATTTTGATGTTAGGGACCTCAATCAGTTATATTTTTGCATCATCTAATTCAAGACAAGAAACTTGTGGGTAAGCTAGAAAAACATGCGTCATATTGGGGCATAACTTGAAAACAAATTTCATTATATAAAGCAGGATTTGACAGCAAAAATCAAGAGTAGCTGATGTTTGTTCGGTGAAGTTTGGGTTTAATTAATGTGTCAAAGAGAAAAGGTGGGCATCGAATTTGGAGAAAGGGGAAACAAATGAAAGAGAAAAGGCTTGTCAATAGAACTATCCATATGTTGATCGTAGTTAACATAATCAATTTCTTTTAACTTAATGGAACCCCGTGTTTGTAAAATAACATAAAAGGAGACTGAGTGAATTATTGAGCTGCCATTTAGATCCACTCTTAAAAGATTTTGGTTTTTCTTTCTTCCTTATGCTATTGTTTTGGTAAGATGCCAAATGTTTATAGTATCAATTTTATTGTTTTACTTACATTACAGCCTCTAATAAATACTATGTATATGCACATGCAGGGTGTGAGCAAAGGACTAGTCGCAAAACGCCTACTTTCTGCTATGCAAGAAAAGGGAATGTCTCCTGATTTTGTTTTGTGTATAGGAGATGACAGGTCTGACGAAGACATGTTCGAGGTTATCACGAGTTCGACGGGTGGTCCAATTGCACCAAGAGCCGAGGTATTTGCATGCACCATTTGTCGGAAACCCAGTAAGGCTAAGTACTATCTTGATGATGTAACTGAAATAGTGAGATTGCTTCAGGGCTTAGCCTGTGTTTCTGAACAAAAAGTTTCATTCTAAAGGTTTGGGAAGTGGTGGTGGTGAGGGGTATTATTGTGCATGCTTTACTTTGTCATTGAATATTTAGGCTCAGTTGTGCTGCTCTCCATACACAATCTTAATTGTTTTCCTTGGTATTCCATGTAAATTATTGTAGTTGTTAGTGAGAGAAGTTCTGTATCGGATTCTGCTCCTTAAATGTTTGATTTCTGTCAGGAAAACTTGTACATATATTTGGTTTCTTTCCAGCCATGAATTCTTGTAGTGTATCCCTTTTCAGCCATGGATGTTTGGATGTGAACATGATGCTGTCTCTTTCCAGAGGTTATTGTTTTTTTTTTTTTTTCTTTAAATGGTATTAGTTTTGTTGGATTTTGTTAATTTCTGTCCAAAGTTCTAATTTTAACCATCTAATAATGGTAAGTTTTTATTGAAAAAAGATTGATTTATTTGAACTTTTGTATTCTTGATATAATGAATACTTTTTTTTAATAAAGGTTGACTTATATAAAGAGAGGAATGTACTTCAAAAGGAAAGGGGACGATACTTTGATATGATCCTTGTATGTGTTGTATTAAGTACTTAAGTTGTTAAAATTTGTTCCTTTTTAATTTTTAATTAATGGTTATAATTTGACCCTGATTTATTTTGTAGAGTAAACATCATTTTAGATGGTCAAACAGGACAAAAATGGTTAAGAGTCCAAAGTTATTACTCATCACCATGGCATTGTGCTAATATTCCCACACCTTATTTTTCTATTTTTTGGTTAACAGTTGTGTATTTTAGAGGATCCATACTCTTATGTGCCTAATTTTGTCGAATTTTCCTTCAAGAATTCACCTGTGGAGCGATCGAAATGAGTTACTGGATATTTGAGACGTTTTAAAATTCAAAGATCAAAGGCTGTTTTTCTTTTTGACGGTTGTATTATTTGTATACTATATTATGTTGGACCCCTAATTAGATATAATAACTACTATCAACGTCATAATGGACTGTGTTCTTTTCTTCTTAATAAGATTTTTTGAGTTGAAAGTTTTGTAAATAAATAAAAAGGAGGTTTAATGTGACTTTGGAGCTGAAAAAAGGTAGATTTAATCCTCAGAGCTTCCTTGTCCTTGAAATCACTTGTCAATTCGGAGTAGAATGATGCAATCATACATTTTATTGGGTCCTCTTAAGATAATATCGACATTTTTTGGGAACTCTCAAGACAATAAAAAGAAAGTTTTGTGACCTCAAATTAAATTTTAAAAAATTTAATGGCATCAAAATGGTTAATTTTAATATTACATGAAACTTAGCTGAACGAGTAATTTTAATATAAACAATTTTATGAAGCTATAACTCTAAAATTTTACTACTTCTAAAATAATTATTAATTATATTAATTTAAATAAATTAAAATTAAATATTATATAAAAAGTTAAAAACTAAAATATACTCAACTAAATTAAAATATACTTAGCAAAATTTATCTAAAAATAAACAAATTAAAAAATAAGATAACGTAATTTAGTAGAGATTAATTATTAAAATTTTTTAAAATAATTTTAATTCATTTAAAATAGATATTATAAGAATTATAATCAGTTAAAAAGAAAAAAAATTAAATACAAATTACAAAATTGACAAAAAAAGTAAAATATTCTAAAATAGGTTTGAAATGATGACTTAATTTGAATAAGAAAATGATGATAATTTTTTTTTAAAATTTTATTTTAATTTATTGGGTCAAATAAGGTTGAGTTTTCAAGAATCAAGCCCAAATCTTAAACACAAAATTTAAACCAAATTATTCAAATTTTGTACTCATGTGACATGTAAAAGTTAAAATTGGGCAAAATTTTTAATTGAGAGATCTTATCTTATTAAATCCAAGTGACATAGTTTTTGGCATGAAAGGAAGTTAATTTATCAATAATTAAACAAAAAATCAGTTGAAGTGAAGTATATTAATATAAGAAGATTAGTTTACTAAAACTCATGAAAATGATATTTGAGTCAATGATCTAATCCCTAACTAAATGACAATCAAACCAAATTAAGCCAAAAAATAATATTATGTGATGGGAAAAACATGGCTTGAATAAACAAGAATTAAAATCAAACTAAGTAAGTACACTTAGACAAATAAGATAACATTATAAAAGTTGAATTAGAGGAAGACTTCAAAAAGTAAAGTTTCTTCAATTAAACCCTCTTAGTTGGTCATAAGGTTCCTAACTCATAAAAGCTGAAAAAAAATAATTAAAAAACACCAAGAGAGATGGACGCAATTTTCACTTGTGAAATGAAGCAAAGTTAAAATACTTAGCCAAAATTTCAAATCCACTCAAACAAAATTTTTTTATCATCACTTAACAACATCTAATACATATCAAAACAAATTCAACCACTCAGCCATGTTGTGTCAACTGTGTTAAGAAAAGTATTTTTTAGAAATAAAATGTTTTTAAAAAAAGATCAAAAGAGTTGTAACTAAAGTTTATTTTAACAAAACTTTAAAAAACGTTTTAAAATAACATTATTTTTGAAACTTAAAATAGGTTTAGGAATCATTTACATGTAAGAAAAGTATTAGCACTTTCGTTTAAAAAATATTACCTTAAATTAATTATGCAAATTTATTATAATTTTGAAAAATTTTATATAATTCCTAAACAATAATTATTTTTATTTTTATTTTTAAAGGAAGAAAATTAATTTATTGAAATTTTAAATGGTATATTAGAAAAAAATAAAAGTTATTTTAAAAATAGTTTTGACCGGACAGGTTTGATTTCAACTCTTATGTATTTTCTAATGCAATTAAAAACTCAAAGTCACGTAGTTTTATCATAAAAAAATTATGAAATTATTTTATTAATTTAAATTTATAAGATTTTAAAGGAAATATAAGAAATTTTTTAAAATTAATTATATTTTATTTTTTTAAAATAATTTATATCTTTTAAGATATAAGACAATACCACTATACATGTTATCTCGCAATAAACAATATAAAAGATAAAAGAAAATTATATATCTATATTGTAAGTTGTTGCAAAAGAATATGGTAATTAAGACAAAATATTTTAATTTATATAAAAAAATAGTATTTTTAGTATATATTTTAATTTAAAATTTGATATTGAAAAATTTAAAATAATATAAGCTATAAATAAATATCTCATGATTTATTTGTCAACCAAAGGTATGTGAAAAATTTAAAATAATATAAGCTATAAATAAATATCTCATGATTTATTTGTCAATCAAAGATAATGTAAATCACACATAGGTATTGTAAAATATTATATGATCAGATGAAAAATTAAATTAAATTTAGTAAATTTAGAAACATAATTTATTATTATTATTATTATTATTTTAAAAATATTTATTTAATAAAGAAAGAAATATTTAGAGAGAAGAATATATATTTATACTACTTAGTAAAAGATAATTATTTAACGAAATGAGTTATAAATATAGCTTAATTTTGAAAATAACTTTATTGCATGAGACTTAAGATAACATTGATACACAAATTTTTTTATAATTTATAATATATAATAATAGAGACGCTACATATTAACGTTACAAATTGTTACTCTTAACTTAGTTAATAAATTAATTGCTTAATTATTTAAAAAGTTTAAAAAAAGACATTTATATTAATCAAAGAAATAGTTATCTAATTAATTTAAGATGAATTATAAATTATTGTATAGATAAAAAAATTATTTTTTTTAACTTAATTAACAAAAATATTTAGAAGAGTATATTTTAAAAGGTAAAATATTTAATTGATTTAAAAATTAGATATTTTTAACTTAAAAGATTTATATCACATAAAATCAATGATAACATAGGTACACATTAGCTGTGACGATTAATGACGCAACAGAGACACTAAGCCACTTTAATTAAGTAAATTTATTTTAATTTCATAATTAATAAATTACATTGGATAATAGAATATAAACATATGATATATTTTGATTAATTAATAAAATTAATTAAATAAAAAAATAATATACTTTAATTGATTATATAATTAGATGGAAAAAATATTATTTCACTTTTAGAATAGATTTTTAAATTATTTAATAATTTTAAAGAGAAAAATTTTCAAATAAAAAACTTTAATTAAATAAAATAAACATATAATTTATTAACTTTTAGAAGTAAGATATTGAAAGTGTATAGGACATAAGATATCGTAGGTATACATATGTCTTGATAATTGATAATGCATAAAGGTAGTGTTGCTACACAACAACATTATTAACTATTGCATTAATAAAATAATTTTGATTTAATAAGTTAATTTAAAGTTTTTAAATAATATTAAATATAATTTATTTTAATTTATTAATAAAATAATTATTAGTAAATTAAAGTTAAAATATTTTAAAATTTTTATTACATAAGACTTCTAGTAATGTAGATACATATGAGTCTTAACAATTTACAATAGATGATGGCAGAGAAGCTACATGCTTGTATTGTGAATAATTCCCTGAATTTTATTTATTTATTATATTATATTATAATAATTATTTTCCTAAAAAATTATTTACTAATCATGAAATTAAATCATATTTACTTTATATAAAGAAAAATATCAATAAAGATAATAACATAAATGCATAAATAAATTAGTTAAACAAATAAAATAAAGATAATAATAATAATAGTAATAACGTGAAGATTATAAAAAAAAATTAATTTTTAATATTACAATACCTATCTCATTATTGTTACCATTAATTAAAAGAAATAAAATTTTCAAACAAATATAAGAGACCCAGCCCCATAATCTTTATTACTATTTTTTGGCTAAAAATAAATAAAATGAACATTATATATATATATATATATATATATATATATATATTGATAAGTCTGTAATTAGGCCTTCTTTAATAGCCCATTTATTCATATTTGACATTTATTTAAATTGGATTTTACACTAATTTAGTTGTTAATCAGTTTGATATAAAGAAACCACGAGTACATTTTGGGCCCAAATGAATGGACTTCAAAGCTTCACAGCAACAAGCACGCTCAATGAAGCATGGGTGTGCTTCGATAGTATGCACGGCCGTGCTTGTTTGTGTTTGCCAAACTTCCCAAGTTTGAAGGAGTTAAAATTCTATAAATAGAGAGGAGGAAGCATTGTGAGGGGGACCTTTTGGAAAGCACACATTGACATTGAACCTTTTCTTGGGGATTTTGGATCACTTCCATACTTCTCGTAGGATCGTTGGCACACACTTGACGAAACTTAGAGCTTCAAGTGACCATACTTGAACACTGAAGATTCAATTCTTATTCTAGTTTGTTTTACTGCTTCATTATGGATGTGTTAATGATTGTTTTAGTTCTTTCTTTCTAGATGAGCAGCTAAATCCATAGCTAGGGCTATGGGAATTATTATTTATGATTTTATGGGATTGTGATATTTGAATCTAAATATGATTTCCATTTTGTGATTAGAATTTATCTTATCGTTTCTAATTCTTCACCCCAATTAATTACATCGTCAGGCGATCATACCTCGGGTAATTAATAGATCTATATGATAAGATGAGAGGAAAGGTTAGGTAGACCAAACCAATCTTCATCTTCTAATCGTTATTAAATTAACAAATTCATAGGCTCTTTAGACTTTTTCTAAATTAATAACCTGCATGATCATTGGGGATATTAACATAGGGAAAAGAATATTAATATTGCATGACCACTGAGTATTAATAGTATTAGTATGAATGATTAGTAATCATTAGGAAATCAGATTTAGATCTAAATAGAAGAATATAATAAAGGATTGATGAGAACACCTATATGCCCTAAGTTCCTCTCCGATAAGTTTAACCAAAACGTGCTTTGTGTTTCTTGCTTTTAGTTTTTACAATTGATTTTATAAGTTCTTGGTTTTAAATTAGTTTCATAACCTTGAAGCTCAAACAATTAAATTAGGAAAACTC